TGCAATCCCCCTGCCAATGGCAAACAAGAGAAATTGTAGAATATTAAATACTTTGGCTCCCGTGAACAGCACTTGCATTATACAGACAGATTATCCATCTGACCGGAGACTCACTACATTTTCCATCTTTTTTTAATATGTGGAAACAGCTCCCAAATCAGCAAACTATAGTTTGTTTTAGAGCCACTTTCAGTTTTTAGATGTAGCAGAAACTTAGATTTCTGAAATGCATTTGTTTGAACTCACTGGAGGCATTTTCTAGATAAAGGTTTGCAATTTTCTGTTTCCAAACAAAGGTCTTGAATGAATTAATTTCTTACCCCACCTATGGAATTCAAGGGTGTATTTAATCAGCTAGACATTAGAGAAAAAACAAACTATTCTCCTTATACCTACGGTAAAGCGCTCTAGTATTCCTCAGGTACCATTTCCAATTCCTACAATTTTTGTTACATGCAGCTTGGTTGGATGATTTCCAACAAATTGGCTCCTATCACTGAAAAACCCTCTCTTGACAAAACAAAGTTTACATCACATTTTCATCAATAAACCTATGACAGACAAAAAAATTCCCTCATTATCTTCATTTAGATATGCTAATAGCAATATTTAATAATTTTACATTTTTCAGTATAGCCTATATTTTAATTAATACCCCCTAGGAGCAACATCAAATTAACTTCATTCACCACAGAAGAGAGCACTTTTCACAGTCAGGACACTCCTCTGCAGTTAATAAATTAAGAGGTGAGGCGCTACTGTTTTGTTCCTTTATTTAAGAAAGTCGTAAGATGACAAACATCAGAAGTCAACACAATTTAGGCAGAGACAAACAAGGCCATACAAATTTTACAAACTTCTACTGAATGCAACACCTACAGCACTTCAATAAGCAAATATGGAAGATTTTGAAGAATATCTGTGATGGTCCCCAATTAATTGCCAAAACAAATTTTGCCATGACGTTTATCCTACCTTTAAGAGCTTTTCAGGAAGCTCAAAAGGACAGAGTGCAAATAGTTAGCCTGAGTTGTGAAAAGCGATTTTCTGCTGCAGATTAACTTGCAGCAGGCTGGAAGGGTGTAAAGAGAGACACAGCAAGATGAACACCTCTACACTGTTGGAGGAATGGCCCACAAAGGTAGGGCCAGCTGTTCCTCCATGAACACTAGCCAGCCAGGCCATGTAGACCAAACTAAGGCCACTACGCTGGGCTACCCGTGAGAGCCAAGTGGGAATGCAAACGCATGTTGCACCCATGAGGAATCAAGAGAAAGTTTCTTTTTACCTTTGGGCAAAAACAGTTCAGAAGAAAATATTTTTTCAAACAGGCAGAAAAGGGGAGGTAGGAAGAAAAGGCCACCCTACTCCATTTCATGTTGGTACCCAAGATAAACCAACTGGACCAGCTAATTATGGCTATAAAGGGGTTATGATGAACTCCCGATCACTTGTGGGATCCCTTCTAGGCTCCTGTGCTCCAACCCTAAACCATCACATACTCTTTGTGCCTGCACCATGGATGCTGCTGGTAGAACCCAGCCTGGGAATAAGTGCCTTGGAATTGTCCCATTCTCATTAAGATGAAGAGAAACAATTGGGGCATTCATCACTTACAGACACATTAATGATACAGAATCCAGGTAATAGTTGGTTGGTTGGTTTTTTTTCATTAAATAATCCCCCTTCTTGGTAGGGAGGGAGCAGGAGTCAAATACATCAACAACTACACCAAAGAGAGATGGGAACAGTCCTGAGCCTGGCCTCCACCTGAGTGGGAACTACTGTGCCAGACACAGGTGTAAAGCCACTCCACCTGAACACTTAGTAGTTGTTTGATATTCTGGCCAAGTGAGTGAAAAGAGGCCCTACTGTTGCTGCTGAACTGACAAAAAGACACACAAATGAATAAAAAAGCAAAACCAAAAAATTCCTGTAGACCTTTATAGGGTCCCCACATATTTATAGGCACAGAACTTTACAAGAAACCTTTCCAATCCCATATGAGTTTTTATCTGCAGTTCTGTGAAGCCAGGTTGGTAGAAATTTGCTATCCATTACCTACTTGAAAATATTTCCTTACTTGTGCAATTATGACTGCAAGTACACATTTCTGTATGCCAAAAAGGAATTAAACATGGATTACTTGCCTTACATATAAATCTGCATGATATTTTTTTCCATTTAGAACTCCCAGCAATGTTGGATTCTCATTATTTCTAAAATTGAGGGTAGAATCATAGACTGCAGAAACTAGAAGAAGAGAAACAGGTTATGTTATTACTGTAGTGATAGAATGGAAACCATTCTCTCAAACAAGAAGAATATTTAAATATGAAGTCATCAGCAATAGCACTGTAGTTTGAACTGTCACCAAGGTAAAGATGGCAATAGAATATTCAACATGCAGGTTTTAAGAAGCCAAATAACCAGTGACCCTTTCAGGAACTGCACCAGTAGAACAGAAGGGTTTGCTCTCTACCCTTCTCTCCTTCCCCATCAGGTGCAGAATGTTTGGCACAGGAAACGCAGTCTTAGGTACACTAACTTTGTAATATACCTAGGACATCCTAGGAGTCAAATGGCTGAAAAACTATTAGTTTTCTCAACTCACTGCATATCACACACACACACACACACATCCCTGCCCTGTTCTGGGTAAATAACCAGGCACCAACACACTTTATTAACAATGAACAATACACACCATTTGACTAAGAATGGATAAAGTGTGTGTGAGACACATCGTATAGCAAGAAGGCTTAATGCAACTATGAATCGCTGGGGTTCAAAAAAACCTCCCTGTCATGTCCATTATTTGATAACTAAAGCACTTGCTATAGGGCAAAGGCAGAGACAGAAAAAGAGACCACACCCTGCGTGAGCCAGACTGCTGCTACGAAGACATGCAGCTGTGAGGAATATAACATCCAAGTTCCACAGAACAGAACTGCAACCAAACTTTCAGCCTCGAGAAAACACTGTGTCTGCAGTTCAGGACTGCACAGTAACAGTAAAAGTATTTGTGAAGGTCATTTGTAGTTAAACTAAGACAGCATTAACAAGCAGTTTCTACAGAAAAAGCGTCCACTGTTTTAAACGACATAAAATGTTTCAAAAGAATTTATTTGAACACATCCTTAGAGACACTATTTTCCTGATGTCACAAAATTACCAGAGAGCAATTAATTTTCCTGTCACTGAAACCAATTGTGCACTGTGGTACAAATTCTAAGATCAATGCTAGCAACATATTTTTTTTTTTCACAAAAGTGACTAAAACACACTTCATGTGTAGCTTGCCGTACTTTAGGTTTTCTGCTCTGGAGTTCTTCAATAATGAACACTGTGATGAACCTTTATTGTGCAAGCTCTCAACCCACCTAAGAAGCCCTTTTATTACACAGAACAGATTTGCTTTTACTTTTGAAGCCTATCTAGCTACGACAGATAAATATGGCTTGGTCACAACATTCAGCCCCCAGAAACTCACCACAACATTTGTTATTGCAAAGCAGAATTCATAACTCGGAACAGCCTGGTTTCAGCGTTGCAAGGAAATCCTGAAAACAGAGGCCAAAACCCTGTCACTGCATACAGACCGTATCCCTCATTAACAATTCTATTCCTACTGCAGTTGGGGTTTTAGCCCAAACTCAAAACTACAACACATAAGCCAAAATCTACTTCAAGCACACTACTCTCCCTCTACACTATAAGTAGGAACTAACTTTTTTTGAATACATTATCTACCTCCATTTTTAAGCTTCTTAGTGTAGAAGGATTTTACTAATCTACTCTAATTTACTAATCCAATGTAATTGAAGGAAGACAAGAGCTCAATTTGTTTTATACAGGGTAAGCTTCTTAGTTTATTCTTTAATAGCATTAGATTAGTCTAACGACAACAGGGATGCAATAAAGGAAAGTATGATGCAATGCAGCACTTGTTCTTTCGTCTTTTGCAAGAAGACTATACTTGAGTTTTGATGTGAATTGAGTCCTTGTTCACACACATTGGAAGATGTTTCTCCTGTTCTGAAAAAACTTCTGCAGAGTTGGTCAGGAACATCTTTATGTGATGATAGCCATACACAGAGTTGTTCTTCACTCCAGGGAAAAAATATCCCATTTCAGTTTCAACTGGTCTGTAGTTTGATATTCAGTCCAGTGCTTTTTAATATCACACTGAAATCTTTTGCTGCAAAGCAGTGCCAAATCCAAGACAATGAGAGCATATGCAGGAGTAAACAGACCTCTGTTACATCCAGATATGAAATAACTAAAGACTTAAGCTCTTCTATTTGACAGTGCAGGAAAAGAACAACAGCAGAAGCGTCAAAGAAAAAGACTGCACAGAATTAAAATTTGCCAGAAAGCTTCCACAGCCAAAGCAGTACTAGCATGCTGTGTGACACACTGAAATTGTTTTTCATTAAATGTATATTTCATAATTACATAATTAGAACTGGACATCTCATGACTTTATCATCCAAATGCTGAAGAGTCCAGAAATTTCATGTTCTAAACCAAGTAAAAAAATAACTCCACACTTTCTTGAAAACATTGCAACTGTCTCCCTGTCAGACTAAATTAGACAGCATTTGAGAAGTTTTGCTTCAATTGGGAAATAAAATATTTTCTCAAAGAAGTTATCTTAAAACATCTTTTTCATTAAACAACAGAAAATTCAATATTTGGAAGCCTTTTCAAAGGCTTAGAAGAGATCATAACTGAAAACAAAATTTTTTCAGCTCAATTGCTATTTTCTGACAAAAACGGCTAGGGATTGTTTTGTTTTGTTTTCTAATCTCTGCCCAGGTTTTTTTGTATATCTTTAACTTTTGGTTCCTTGTACAGCATTCTGACAGAGCGCTGTGTACTTAATAATTTAAGATTTAATTTCTTAATTTTGACTTAAGAAATCTTTGGATTACATACCTAGAGAGGATTTTTCTTACTTCAACTGTCCTCTTGAATTTCATGCGTTATTTTGTGGACATGGCAGATTATGCCAGAATGATCATCCCACAAATCAACCTACAGGCAATGAGTATGCCTACCCAGAGCTTCATACTAGCACACAAATGATCTGAAGTGAAGCCTAGGAAAGGGAGGGGAAGAGACAGTGCAATTGACTGTACTGCTGGTATGACAGCCACCTTGACACAACCATTTGATTTAACATCACATTGGTCATCTTGGTTAAAAATCACTCATCCTCTCAAACTTCATAGCTTGCTCAGGAGGATGGCTAGGAGCCTCACCAAAAATTGAAAAAACCCCAGGACTAAAGTGCAGCTCATGGGAAAAAAAGTCATTGCAACACCCCCAAATACTGTCATATTGAACTCCATGAGAACATCACCCTGGAATTTATTCTTATGTGTTCCCTCTAGGACAGTAGTTCCCAGCATGCACAATTGGAGGAAAAGGTTGATAACTTGGAGTTACCTACAATCCATCATGAGGCACATTTTTAAATACAAGTCTTAACTAAATAAAAACAGCTGAAAGGAACTGCCTGATATACAGCCAGGCAATAAAAGTAACAGTTAAATATAACTTTTGCAATATTTATGACTTTTTTTTTTACTCTAAGTAATGGATGAGTGTTTTAGAAACAGATCTGTATTTCATTTGCTTCCATGAACAGGCTGTGAGAGCTGGGGTTGTTCATCCTGGAGAAGAGAAGGCTCTAGTGAGACCTTACAGCGGCCTTCCAGTACCTACAGGGGGCCTACAGGAAAGCTGGGGAAAGACTTTTTACAAGGGCATGTAGTGATAGGATGAGGGGGAATGGTTTTAAACTGGAAGACGGTAGATTTAGATTAGATATTAGGAAGAAATTTTTCACTGTGAGGGTGGTGAGGCACTGGAACAGGTTGCCCAGAGTTGTGGAAGCTCCATCCCTAGAGGTGTTCAAGGCCAGGCTGGATGCAGCCTTGGGCAACCTGGTCTAGTGGGAGGTGTTCCTGCCTACGGCAGGGGGGTTGGAACTAGATGATCTTCAAGGTCCCTTCCAACCTAAATCATTCTATGATTCTATAACAGTACAGGTAGCCAACACTACAACCTAACAGCAATTTATTAAGACAGCAAACAGCTTCTGGAAATGAAGTTCCAGGGGACTGTGTTTGTACTACCAAATTGGTAGAGATGGCCACTAATAAAAATATCAGAACAAGTTCAAAACATATTAAAAGCAGTCCTTTAAGAATCAAACTGCGTGAAGAGATCTGAATTTGTGAAAGTAAGTTGCTGAGGAGAAAAGAATTTCATTATCACTTCAGAAGGAATTTAGTTAGGAGGGAAGGTTCTTTACTCCTTATTTTGTGTGAAAGATATTTCTACCCAAATATATCTGCTTATGCAGATACATGGCACCCACTGGTATGGAGGTAGTTTCCCATGCACGTTAAAACTCCTTCTGAAGCTAAGTTTTTCAAAACTGATGGACTTGCCAGATTGATGTCACCAATGCCTGCTTCCAACAGACATGGAACGACTGCACCAGGTAGGATTAAGAGTTAATACAAAGTTTCAAAAAGCACCAACTGTGATCACTGCTATTGTGGGTGAATTACCTCTACAGCCACATCAACCAGCATCTATCCATCCTATAGTACTACAGCCTCAGACAGGTTGAATCCCACCCTTGTCAGAAAGAAGGAACGAAGAATACAGGAAAAGGAAAGGCTGACCTCTGTCACACTCAGCTTGGAACTGGATCCAAATATTTGGCTCTCCTTCACTGCTATGTTGTGCTGCTGCTGCCTCCCTTAGCAAGGCACGCCAGCCAGGCTCAACACGCCTTGTAGAAGAGCAGAAAGTGCATTAGCCTAAGTGGCAGGCCCCAAAATGCGCTCAGGCAGCTCAGCACCAGTCTCTCACTTTCAGAGACGTGCAGGGATACCCCGCTGCAGACTTGGCCACTGAAATGGATGTGAACTGTACCTCAAGAGAGACAGGTCAGCCTGCAAGAGTCATTCTTGTAGATCATTAAAGATGTCACTAAGACGAACTGAAGTTATGAACATCTGCATGTTGCCATTGCTGATTCTGCACACAGAGCAGCAATTCAGCTGTAATAGAAGGATACAGTCGTTTGCTGGGCCATGTTATAAGGCAGAGCATAACAGTAAGACTTAAGGGATCTACAGTGAATAAGTCAAATAGTACTATTTACCAATGTAAATATTCAAAAGAAAAGATGCCCAAATTACTACGGCATACAGCCTCTGCATATATTGACACCTAGAACAACATGTTACTGCTTATAATGTGGGTACCAAATGTCGGTGAAGGTTAACAGAGACAAGTGGTCAAATCCTATCAGTAATCATGCAAGAAAGGAATAATTTCTAGACAGAACTTCCATGTCTTGATTATGGACTGACAAAAAAGACTTCCACCACATTCTCTATTAAAAAAACATTTATGGACTTCCGTGTTACCCATACATATTGATGTTACAAGGAGTTCTAAAAATAAGATATTGTTTACAAAAGCCTTTCAAATGCTTTTCACCCTTTGTCTCTACAGGAGAGAAACATACAGTAACCCAGACAGTAACTCTTATTAACTCCCTCTCATTGCAAAAAGCAACAAGGAAGTAAAGCAACATACCCAGAAGAATTTGCAACACTGATCTGGGGTCATCAGCTGCTTCCCACACAGGTTTGTTCATTGGGTTTTTAAGCTACACAGTTTGAACAAACACTACCTATGAGAAGTTATGACTGTCTCTACTTCTCCTTGAACCCTGACAGGGAAATATCACCTTCTTATTAGCCTTAGCCTGTTTGATCTAGCAAGTCACAGCTTCTGGGTTGAGGTAGTAACATAATTTTCCTAAGCATACAAGTAATCTAGCAATCTCAGTCTTCTTTTTCTGAAAGTATTTCAAATATTTAGGATCCTAAGAAATGTTAGTGTAGTGTATCATGTGAATGCCCAAAACTTTTTACAAATGTCACTTGGGTTCCCTAAAATTGTTTCCTTTTGAAACACTTTCCCCACAAATCAGCTACTTGTCCACAACCATACCATGTTTTGCTTGCTTTACCCAGAGTAGTGAAAAAGAACAAAATCCCCACCGAAATAACCCAACCCTGATTCCCAGCTCAGGGCATTGGAAGTCATAGAGGTTTGACTCAGCTCTTCTTCAATGCCTCAAGTCTATCTCCCCCGCGCTCAGCAAAACAGTCACCCGTATTCAAAGGTTAAACTGTGCCCTTAAGGGAGTTGCTGGATGCTGCCCATAACTTACCTCTTCACATATTAGAAAAGATCCAAGCTATGCTATCCATTTTGGGAGTGGGAAGTCGTGGATGCCTGACAAGCTACAACAGCGATATCATCTACGTGACTTGTAAGAGGATATGTAGAAGAAACATGACAGATAGCAAGACAGCTGACTGCAAAGCTTTTTTACAGCAGCTATCCCAGATATGCCACATAAAAACATGTCTTCAAAGACAAAAGAAGCTTTGACATTCATTTCAGTCAAGCAAGAACATTTTCTTCTAAACTACTAACCACTTTGTCTTTCTTATATATCAGCCTTCTAACAGCACACAAATCTACCAAACCCCAAAGTTACTGAAGCACTATGGCTACTTAGCACTGTCTTTCCTTTGCCCACGAAGTACACAGCAGAAGACTTTGATGGATTGTATCAGTCAAAAAAAAATCACTTCAAAGGCATATGTGCCATATTCTTACTGATGGCACAAGTTGGCAAATTCAAGTAACCAGAAATAACTTGGGGGTGGGGAGTTCAGAACAACATTAACAAAGAAAAACTTACTCATTCTCTGTAATGTAGAGATAATTTATTTATAAATTTCTCCTACATGTATCTTCAGTCGAGGTATGCTCCCATTCCTCAGCTCCACAAAGGTTAGTATGAAACTCTAAAGAGCACATCTACACAGAAGTTTAAAGCAGAATTTTTTTTTATTGAAAATGGTGTTATTTGAGGCAGATATTTATCACAATAAAATATTTAAGACACACTGCCTCAGATTCTCTAGTGATGTATTTGCTTCATTTGGAATAGGATTGCATAGTAAATACTAAGAAATATTATCCTTTGGCAATAGGTATGAAACACACAACTTGATATTCCCCGAGACAGACTCAGTAACAGAAAACAAAGCAAAAAAATAATAATAAAAAAAGACAAAGTTCCCCCAACATTTTGTTAGTAAAACCTGATCTTTAATTTTCACAGGCTAGTGGAAGAAAGGTCAGAAAGGATCCCAGGGCTTTTCTGCTAGGACACATGCTACAGGGGAAAGAAGAGCATGGCAAAGTGACAGCAGTTACATGAAATAACCATTTGGAATTGTTCCTTGTGACTTTCCTTACCTACATTTCTCAAACACTGCACAGTGACAGCAAATCCTTTCGTTCGTGGCAGTAGGTGATACTTGAGCTTGGGCAGGCCTTTGGCTTCAGCCACCTGCATGCTAATCTGGTGCTTCTGTTCTGTGAACCTTGTGCCTTCGCAATGAATCAGGAACTAAAACCAAGAAAGAACTACAGTTAGAAAGCCGCTCAGGTCTTCTACATCTGTCTGACCAGAGGCACCTCTAATTCCCAACAACACAGCCCAAATGAACACTGCTAGCAGGGACAGGTGTAGCCACATGCACGTTTAGGTAACTTAATTGCCCTGGAGTTTAAAAAAAAACAAACCAAACCAAAACTATCTCAATTGCCCCCAGCCATCCAACTTGCCGTCCTCTGGTTTGAACTCTAGCCTTTGGGCTTTAACATCTGCTCTGCTACTTGGTGTCTGAAGGACTTGCTTTCTCTAAATGAGTCACTCCATCTCTACTGAGATGTTAGAAAACAATCAAAACATACCTCGTGTTGCAAATCTCTCACTGATGGTGAGGTGCTTGAGTGTCTTGGTTTCTAAAGCTTGGTAAGTGTCTAAACCAAACACATTTCTAAGAAATGCTTCAGTGCCCAGATTGCTTCCCCTCACTCCGACCCACTTGCTTTCACTGTGGTGTAAGGACCACTGATAACTGCAGACAGTAACTTTGATGCCAATGACTGCGCTGGTAACAGACGTAGAGCAGTAAATGCAAAACTGAAAGCCTCACGCCCTTATGAACTACACAGTGGAAGTGCTCAGACATGAACGATTACAATTTTGCCACTGGCAGACAGGGGAGAGCAGACAGATCTTTGGAGATTCCCAAGTTGCTCATCTGCTTTCTGCCAAGTCTGAATGCAAACTAACACATCAGAGAGTATTGCCAAATCGCACAAGCTAAGTCCCCATAACCCACAGCAAAGATTTAGCCAACAAAGACAGTAAGACTGAAGAAAAGTAGCCAAGCAGACAGCTTCAGTTCCAGCTCATCTAAAAGCACTTTTACTCATGTATCATATGCATAATGCTAAACAGCTAGATGAAACATACAGAAACTAATGAGAAAATCCTTCTAGCCCACTTAGAATGCTCTGTCTTTCTACCTTCCAAGGTGCTACTGCTGTGCCTTTTGACATTATGTCCCCACAAAAGGGCAAATCAAAACTCCACACTGCAATAACCCCAGGTGTACACCAACAACTGTATCTCTCAATACAGCTATAGCTTCTTCTTAGTAATCTCTCTACAGCAGTATATAAATGACAGTGGCGGTTTGTGCTCACCAATTAGAGCTGAACTGCCTAGGTGCACAGAAAGGCATTCAACACCTTTTAAGAGTCATGAAGCACAGGCAAATCCCTGTGAGAGAGATCAGAACTAGAAACGAAGAACTGTCCCTTTGCTAGACAGCCTCCTGCCTGGAAGGCATTTAATCATTGTCCAAGCACAGAGCTTAGTTTCGATTGCTTAGCCCTCATTTAAATCAATGACAATTAAAAAAAATATGTTTCAGAGAATGAGAGATACAGCATATACACCTTCACTAGGAAACTGCTTCTTAAGCAATAGTTTCTGTAGGCCCTTGTGAGGCTGCTTAACTGAATCCCTCTCTCGCCATCACCAGCTCATGAGAACTAGGATTTTTCTGATTACTGAGGAGAAAAAAAAATTCAAAGGCTTTTCATTCACAGACTAGGAAGTGCCAGGCAGGCTCAATACTAAAAAAATGATGGCGATACAAAAAGTAACACTTTCCTGTTACTGAAAGGCAACACAAATCCTCTCTCTGTAACACAGCCAATGGCCCCAGGGGTCACTTCGCTGTCCAGGTACTTATATGTGGCTTCCACTTACTTCTACTGGGCCATGCCTGTCCTAGCACCTTCACAGGAATGGCAGAATCACAGGGGAACAGAAGGAGAAAATACTAGTATGAACTCAGTAATGAATGAGAGGGGAGCTTACGTAAAGAATACAGCTAATGTGTTTCAATACAACGTTGTCACATGTATCTGTTACACTGCCATGAATCCCTGCATCTACCCTTCTCCAGCGCCTATATTTAGAGGACCACAAAGTTTACTGAATGGATCACAGTGGAGGTTTTTTTGCAATAACATCTGTAGGGCTCTACACTACAGAGGAAGAAAACCAGACAAGACAGAGTATTACATGGGAAATTCAAGACAGATTTCCATTCTTAGAAAATACTCTCCTGATACTGCCAGGAAGATAATGAATCAAAGTTCTCAGGAGCAACCCGGCAACTACCACATACCGTCTATGCCCTTCATCCCTCCCCCAAGCACTACAGCACCTCAGAATCCACTCCTGAGTCATCACTTACCCAAAAGTTTTCAGGGTAGTCCCGGAGATTCAGCAACTTCTGCATGACTGTTTTACGATCTTCCTCCCACTTACGCTTGCAGAAGACTATCTCTAGGAAATACCACATCCAGCCAATGATAGGCATGTAAGAGAGCTCCTTCTTTGCAAGCACTTTGGAACTCTGCAAGAGTCAATGCAAGTAAAACAAAGTTACTCCACTTAAGAGTTCTCTGTGGGTATGACACATGCACAGTTATACACTAATATATTTATTCATACTGGCCAGTCCCAGTTTTAACACCAGTGTAAATGTAAAAGCAAAAGTTTTCCTCATATAACAGAATAGTCAAATCTAGTCTCAGACATCTGCATGAAAGACGACCTCCAGAATTCAATATGTATATGTGGATGTATGTCTATCCTACCCAAACCCTGGAACCCAAAACATAAGCCAAAATCCTTCAAACACTGAGGAACCCATGCAAAAAACCCAAACCATATGAAATGAAATTATTAATTCAAGCAGACCCTGGGCAGTGGCAGTGGCAATTCCTTTAAGATATCTTGCAGCTATACTTCTCCCCAAAGCTGGGACACTTCACCATGACAAAAAAACTCAACCCTATTCTGAATGAGAAGCAGAGTCACAGAGCCATTGCTGCACAATAATATATTGATGCATACATGTGATTTACCAATGGAAGAAACCTTATATGACACTAGAAACAACAGCAATAAAAATACTTCATTTGTGTTTAGGTTTGTTTATGGAAGGGCAGAAACACTTACACTAGTGAAATTCTCTTCAAAGCATGGTTCTGGAGTAAAGAAAAAAACAACCAAACAAACCACTGTTCCCATCTCACAGGTGTGACAGACACTGAAGTGATTTGTCCAGACCCTCCACAAGAAGTCTATGGTTTATTAAGCATTCAACAAGTTTCCAATCTCAAGTCCTACTCCAGTACTTAAATCGGTGATCATCTCAGACTGACACCCCTTTGGGCAGGAGAATTGATCCCACTTGCTCTTTTCCTGTCTTCCAAGCCAGCCTGCCTTGGTGAGCTGTCTAACGTTTCACTTTGTTATTTAATAAATAAAATGGCAGTGTGTGTGTGTGTATATCTAGAATTTGTTGCTCCAGCATTTCCTGAAAAACAGTGACATTTTCTTAGAGGACAAATACAGCAACTACAGTCCGGTTTCTATCCATATCATCATTATAAGCTATCCCATCAAAGTGCTCTGCAGATAGGTTCGCATCTGACTAGTAGGAATTATTTACTGGTAGAAATTACCACCGACAGAAATTATTTGGTTTTACTTTTTTGGTCACTGTTGTTCATTTGATTACTAGGGGAAGAAACTTGACCTGATTCTTTATCTCATCTCATTTCGCTCATCTGCTCTCCTTCCTTGAGAAGGAAAATAGCTTAAATAATTAAGCTATCTAAAACCTCATAAGACTGGAAGGCAACTGCACACCATGCAGCTTCACTAGCAACTGTTACACAAAAGCAGAGCAGAAGACAACATGAGACAATTCCATTTTTAAGAATGCAGGAATCATCTCTGTCAATGATTTAACACATCGTAATAAAGCACTCCCTCTTGATCATTCAAGAATTTCAGTGATGGGCCCAGATCAGAACTCCAAACCCAGCTCTCCCACAAGGAGCAGCCGTAGGATATGGCACACTTTTTGCCATTTCACTTTCAAACCATTTTGAACATCAGTCCCTACTGCATGGCAGCAGCAATGCTAAGCCCAGCCTCCTCTTCCAGCTCCCCAAACTGGCCACAGAGAAACAGGCTCTACTCCCACTACTTTCCTTAGCTCTCTGTTTTTTTTCCCCCACACTACTGTTTTTCTTTTCTCAGTTACTCTTAATACAAGTAATTTTCTTATTTCCAAAAATAAATGTAAATAGTTCTAGCATATAGCTTTGAAAGCCTCTAAAAAGCATTTTTTGTGGTAGGCCATGTACAGTATAGCTTCCATTCAAAGCACACAGACCAGTTCATATGCTCTTCCATTCCTCTCCCCTATACATGCCTGAGGAAGACAGCTGAGCCAAGGCTTTGCCCCAAGAAACCCCCAACAGATGCAAAGTGTTTTTAGCTGAGCAGGGAGGGCTAAAACCTTAAGGAACTACTGCCCGCCTCAGCCACAACCAGGGCAGTCATCACCTACTGCCATGCACAAGTCACTACACAAGGAGGCAAACAGCAACAGTGTTACCCCCCCAAAAATAGAAAAAAAAACCCATACTCTTAAAGTTTATTTGCAACAAATGTTCAGTATCATAAGACCTACCATAAAAAAAAGTAAGTGTGCTCTGCATAGGATGTACAAGGCCTCCAGAGCAGAGTCAGAAAAAACAATGCAATAGTCCTCCCTCCTAGACTTTAAAACACAGGAATCCTAGTCCAAAAAGCAAGCTAAAGTAACTGTTTCACCATAGCTACTTTCTAATGTTTTGTATATTTTAAAAAGCATGTGAGATAAACAAGGGGCAGGAGAGAAGTTGCCAACATTTTTTTTTTTTCCTGGTGAAACAAAGAAGTTTTGTTGTGAGCTAAGGTGTCACGTAGCACAGGTATAACCACAAAAGCAGAATAGATGTTTGAATTTTTCCCAAGGGCATGTTCTTATTCATTTTCTGTGCTGATGCATTTTTAAAATTTAAAAGCGCTCTTTTAGACACGCAAGTATATGACTCCTTAGATACACATAAAAAAACCTAAATTACCTTATGCTGGTTTGTGCACCCCATCTATCCTAGGAGGTGAAGGAAGGCTAATGACATAGAAATAATTAGAGAAAGGAAACTCTTCAGTGCATTATACCGGCAAGACTGCTCCTGTGGGGGAGGAATACATTAGGGCTCCCCTCAGAAGCTATCATCTCTCTTACAATAACTAGAACTACAATCTATTCTGTTTCAGTCATCTACCCATGCACAGCTCCTGTATAAATACCTGAGGGGAAAAACGTAGCTCTACTTGATTTTGGTCACTAACTTTTCCTTTACAAAAGTGCCTTGGTAAATATGTGACAGTCACCTCTAAGCTTCAAATTCAGCTTGTTCAACAGAATAAATTTCATTAAAAAGTGCTGATTTGTTCCATGTAAGATGCCTTCTTGAAAGAAGTCAAACATTTTCAGTGCTCAGAACTGTGTAATTCCAACAGATGTTTAATGAAATTACTGCTGAATGGGGACAACTTGTCTACAGTAATAGCATTTTAATCCAGGTTAATTTCTTTTGGCCAAGTTTGTTCAGATGGAAATACCTGTGAAGGTCTCCTTTTGTGAATGACTGCACTAATATCACACAAAAAAAATATTTTCACAAGCTTACTTTAGATGCAGTTGCACAGCTATGCTGTCACAGAAAGAAAATCTTTATTTATATGTCCAGCCTCAGTTGTTCAACATCTCTTGATCACAGAATGCAACAAACAGCATGAAATCAACCTGTAAGCTGAGGATGTCTGTGAGAGATGGAATTGTTTTCCTTTGGCCATTTTGTATGTCAACAACACAAGCAGGGCTATGAGCAGTCATTTTGTGTGTCAACAGCACAAGCAGAGCTGTGTAAATTAGAAAAACACCTCCTTAAAAGGAGAAAAGTGTGAATCGAGTTTGTGACAGGCTAACGGGTCGTGAAAGAATGTGCGCCCTAAAGTACCTAACCAATGGGAAAAGGGGACAGGACATAAATACCTGAAGTTTTGTAGCTAAGTGTGCTCTTTTTGAGAGGCACACGACTCAGCTGACTCGTTTATTTTGATCCTGAATAAACTTTTATCTTTGCTTCGAAGACTTTGTCCTCTCTACATTTTTATCTGTGAGTGTTTCTCACAATGTCTAACAAAATTTGTTCCACAGTTTCAAAACAAATTCATTGTAGATGCAAACCATTAGCAGCAGCAACTTGCCTTATAAATTTTTTACTCTCCAGGCTGTTCTCAGCATTGACATACTTTTGATGATTCCATTTGCTCTATTTTTGAAATACAGCACTCCTCCATATTATACTCTCTGGGACATCAAGTCGGAAAGGTATGTATCTTTAGTCCCTCAAAGCCATGGTTTCAAAAATTTAGTTAGCCTCCTAATTTCTACTGTTTCATATTGAATAAAACTTTTCCATGTTGGAAAGGTAACACAGCAATATTTTAGAGCATATGCTAAGATGCTGTGTGAAGTACAAATAATGATGTAGTTTTGGCTGCCTACATGAATAATTACATAACTTCTATTAAAACATCAGAATGTACAAATGAACTACTGTGTTCACACACCTATGAGTCCCATACAATAGCCCAGCAAAAGTCTCTTCTCATACCTATACTTAAGGCCACACTCAGTTTTTCCATCAGCAAGCTTCAACATAAACAACTTTTAAATAAAATCTGGGTTTCCTGGCATATGGAACAGATAGTTAGCGTTAAAAATTATTACAAGTGTTTAGCAATTTTTTATAAGAAACTAAAAGCAAGATAGTTAACAACCAATTTTTCATAATGGTTTTCTGTGTTGCCTACCCTGCCAAGGAATAAACAACTATAGCCTCTTTTGGAAATGCATATTTTGATGCCAATATAATGAGCCACTCAGAATAATGTTTATGTTTTGCTGAGGCAGAAAGACCACCAGCATTAATAACTTGAAACTACAGACACCAGAAGATGAACAGATAAACCAGCAGGTTTAGCTTTAAAGCACAGACAATTTTTGCTAATATAAAGGTCTTCATCTCAGAAAAAGCGTTATTAAAATTACTAAAAAAGCTATTTTGTCACTGCTTGGTCAGATCAAGCAACAAAGCAGAAGGGCACAGTGAATCTTGGCAGAGAGCACACTAATGTGCTTTTGATGCAAGTCCTGAATAACACTTTCCTCCTCAGAACATGCCTATGTCCTGATTTCAAGTTCTGGTGTCCAGTGGGTCTGTTTTCAAAGGGATGCTTAGCACACACCTTGGAGAAACTAAATGCTACTAATGTGTTTAAATGCTGATACAGTAGCTAGGCTGTCCACACTAAGAAGAAGGTAAGTCCTAGGACTGGAATGTCACAGGCAGGAAAAGGGAAGGACACAGCAGAGCGCAGGAACCTGTCACCAAGACCCTGTCTCTATTTACACAACAGAGCAACACAGAGACACCGGAGCCAGCATCTCCCCCAGATATTGTACTAATATGGGGTGGAAAATCAGAGCATCCACAACACAACCACCCTGGTCAGGTTCATAACAACAGCCCTGTCTTCTATTAGGAAACACTGTTGGGGACAAAGCTTCGCCCTGTTGAGGCATGCTGTTTCCGACTCTACAGAAAGCCAAGTTGGCAGCACAGCTCCTTCTTCCCATGCAGCATGTTGCAGCCACCTCTGTGTCAGGAGTAGTCAGGACTCGGCTGTCCCCGTGGACATCCATGCTGCCCATAGGAGCATCATGCTGACTTGGCATCAAGCACCCCTATATTCCCTCCCTCCTGCACACATCACTGAGGTCTGGCAGCACAAGGAGGTGGGTATGTGTGGCTGATGGGTGTCAAGGACTGAAAACAAAACAGGAAGATCCCTTCACAAAACCCCCACAACTGGAATACAGGTGTAAGTGATTAACAGTTTGGCCTGAACACAAGCCTGCCTGAAATCCCTGTCAAATTCTATTTTTTTGTGAAGTTTGCTTCCTTCTGCTAATTTTCAACAACAACTAAAAATCTTATATGGTTTGGTGCTGCGAACAATTACACATCAGTAACTTCAGCTGCATAGAGTCCAACTGTAGCTAGCAGGACAATCTCACTGGCTACAGTAACTTGCAAAAGTAAAAGCGAGCATAGAATTACTTCTTCATGTGGTTTTCTCCTTTTCTGCTATAAATGAATAGATCTCTGGCTCTCACTCAGCACTGCCCACCCAGTGTCTCCTAACATTTTCAATGGGTGCTCCAAAAGTACTATATTAAAGGAAAAAAAGAATCAAATAAATGTTAGAATTGTCTTTTTTTTTTTGCCCCTCCACACACACTTCTCAAATTCTTAGCACCTTCTTTGGGTTTTTTTTTGCTAGATTTTCTTTCACAGCCATTTAAAAACCTTCACGAAAGCAGAGAACCTCATGCCATCCAAGTATAAGAACTGAGTCATTAGAAGAGCACTGAGGTTCACAAACCTAAAAACAACATGCAAGAGACTATGCCACTCCCACTCCACCCCCTGCAAGCAGCAAACAAAAATAAACTCACGTTGATAAAAAGAAAACCACATTGATGGAGCTGTTGGGACTATGGCAATTTGGCTATAAGGAGAAAGCCAGTACAGGACAAGAGAGACAAAAGAAGGAGCAGAACAATGCACAGATTGAATGCTACAGCTAAGACCAGGAGGGGCAGTTTTCATATCATGATTAAAAATGAAGAGGAAAAGGGAAAGACTTTTCTTCTTTGGGGCCAGAAGGGGCAAGACAGGTTTAAGGAAGTTTAATTTTGCTTTTAAATGAGCAAAACCATGCAAAAAATTACAGCATTTAATGGCTTCATATAATAAAAGTTCACGCTGTAAAATACTGAGAGTTTGGACACACGCTTGTGACACTGTTATGAGCACTGCTGCTGTCTGCCAGCACCACAGGGTACAGCTGCATGTCACAACAAAGCCATTCTGTCTGCCTGCTATAGCCAAGCACGATCAGTCCCAACTCCTTCGGCCCTAAGTTGTCTTCACCTTCTCCCTTTTCCCCCTCCCCAGCCATCTCTTTTCTTCATTGGACTAGTTAAGGCAGGAGAGAGAGAGGGGGTATCTGAAACATGCCAAAACAGGGCAGACAAACACCAGAACAGATGCAGGAGATAGGATGGCATGTGCAAGATTTCCTTTTCAGCAGCAGCAGACACAAGATCAGCTTAGTAAGATGCTAGTAGTTACCCAAACTTAGCATAGAAACTTCATGGAGTATAAAATTAAACAGCATTAAATATAAAACCCTGCTGGCTCACAGAGTCCCTGAGCTACAAAATGCTGGAGGCTGGGACAGCACTTAGAAATCTCTCTGGACACTTGCCTTTTTCTTGTAATTCCTTCTCCCAAACGTTAATGATTCTTACATTCCTAATTGTGCCGCCACACCAAGCCCTGAAGCTTCGCCCTCTGCAAACTTGTGTAAGGCAGCACAAACCAAGCTGCACCCCCAATCCCTACACATTCATCCACTCCCGTGCCGCCCCAAGCCATGTACTGATTGCCGATACAGGCAACCCAATCAGGAAACTGATTGTGTGTGCCTTTTTCTTTTTTTTTTTTTAACCTGGCTTAAGATGAACCTTGACCAGTTGCTCCAATAGGGAAATACACTGCTTTGCTGTGTAAAGATATATATGCAAATGAGAGCACATGGGAACTATTCCTTCCTGAAACAGTTTCTGGGGCGTAAAATCACAGTAAATTACTCAAGACTGAAATAGTTTAAAAAAATAATTTAAAAGAACCCAACCATATATCAGTTCCTAAAAGAATCCTAAGATTATAAAAAACCCAAACTGAGTAATAACTGTAAGCATCTAAAAAAAATAAAAAGGGAAAATTATTTTCAGTTAGTGCAGAACAGTAATTGTTCAACAGTTATGCTTCTACGTAGTGGTTTTTCTATGTGTAGAAAGACATGCAATATCTGCAACATGCAATATAAAAAAAACTAGAACATAAGCCTGATTACTTTCAGAAGCTATAAAAAAATTATTAAAGTTAATGAGATTCAATCCAGCCACACAGCACCAATGTCAAATGAGATTTTTGACCTTGTAGACCCGTATTAGTTTGTACAAAAATAATCCTTTAATTTTCTACAATGGTGCTTTCTGAAGCAGCACGTGACCCTCTAAAACACAGCTTTATTTACAGAACTGTAGCCATTAGGCTTACAAAATTATACAGGCTATAATAAAGCACCACTGTATAATGAGCACATAGAAGGGAGAAC